GGGATCAAAAACTCTTAACTTTTGGTATCAACCTAACAGCAATAACTAAGAGAGTAAGGCAGTTTTCCGTCCTCTATCCCCTCCACACACACACACACACCCTCGTGGAAGCCTGGTTGCGTTCTCCAGCACCAAAGAGGGATCGAGTTATGTTCCTTACCGCCGAACTTGCTTAGGCGAAGGTCGGTAATTCGATGCCCACCCCCAAGCGAATAGGGAAAGTCACACGGAGAGAGGGAAAAAATCAGAATAAAAGAAAAAGTGCGCCAAAGGACGCCTCAGACTATTGGGCCTCCCTACCCAGGGGCCAAAGCCCGCAAGAGCTACCCTGGTGTAGAAGAGAGCTGTGGCTCTGAGGTGGGGTGCTGACTACGCCTACTGTCGTCTCGTGTCACCTGCAAAATCAAGATCACTGAAACGGGCAAAGTAATAGTAAGTGCAAAAGGATCTGTAAATACAGCTTTTCCTCTATCTGAATTTACTTTATAAAACTCAGAAGCAACAATTTTAAGCGAGACGAAAGGCCTCGGGTTCCAAGGTAGCTCTCGTGACACAAGACTTACGCTTCGTTGCTGCTGCTTTGGAAACAAGGTGCGAGTTTTACAAAATCTCAAACACGAGTATTGATGAAGTTATATTAATGGGGGTTATCTATAGAGAGGCAGATTCCTCGTGGTTGATTAAGGGTAGATAATGGCAAATCCAATGAAGTTTTAGGATTTTTTTCTTCTTTTCTTTTAAGGTGAAAGGAGAAGATTGATTAAGACTAACAGTGATGATAAATTCAACATTGTCGTTAGATTTAGTTAGAGTTTTGAGTACTGCATAGATTTCGATTTTCGCCAAATTAGTAAAAAAAAAAGGAAGATGATGATGACGATGGTGGTGATGATGATGATGATGATGATGATGATGATAATGAAGGTAAATGATAATGATGATGATGAAGGTAAATGATAATGATACTAATGATAATAATGATAATGATGGTGACGGTGATGGTGATGATGATGAAGGTGATGATGAAGGTGATGGTGAGCTTGAGGAGGAAGAGGATGGACAGGAAGAAAAAAAAGAAACTGGAAAGGACAGATTCCGTCGCTGAGGAAGACAATGCTGAGAATTGGGAATAGAGGGAAGGAAGGAGTATGAAGAAAATAAAGAATGAGCAACAAGAAATAGGAATGGGAAGAAAGGAAACTGGGAAGGAAGGAGAGGGATCAGGGCGAGAAAATGGAAGAAAGTGAATGAAATAGAGAACAGAGAAGGCGGAAGAAGAGGAAAATGAAAATAGGGAAATAGAGGAGAGGGGGAAGGTGAGGGGAAAAAAAGGAAGAGATAAGTGCGTGACTCGCCTGCAATGCGGTAGGTTAGGGGGTCTGGACTCATAAAAACGAAAGACTTCTCATATTTCAGTCTGTTGGGGATTCTATAGTTGACTGCGCTGCTACTTCGCTTGGGCCATTTCTTTTTTATCTCTCTTTCTCTTTCCCACCCCCTCTCTCTCTTTCTGTGTCTCTTACTCTCTCTCTCTCTCTATCTATCTATTTCTATCTCTCTCTTTCTCTCTCTCTCTCCCTCCCTCCCCCTCCCCCTTTCTCTCTAATTACTCCAATATTTTCTACGGCCGCAGATCGTTCGACTTTTGTTTCATCTAAACTGATTTCTCGGATATTAAGTAATTCTATTCTTAATCCAAGTAATTTATTTTTCTAACAACGTATATTTCCTCGTATATTTTTTTTTTTACACGAGTTTGCGTCGGCATACGTGATGACGTCATATTTCGAATGGCTTTTCCGGGAAACTTCTGAAGGTTTTCTGTTTTATCTTATCTTCCTATTTTCATTATTCTTTTATCAGTCATCTCTTTCTTCTTCTTTTTTTTATTTCCCTTATCTTTATCTTTATCTCTATCATTTTCTCTTTTTTTTGTATTGCACACAATTATTATCAATTCATGATGCGATTTTCTTCATTGAAAACATTTATATCAGATGTAACCAATTTGCCCAATATGATATCTATCATGATTAGCATAAACGTCTAAAATAATAAAGAAAATGTTTAAATGAAAACATGTAGAAGAGAAGAGAATGTGTGTATGTGTGTGTATGTGTGTGTGTGTGTGTGTGTGTGTGTGTGTGTGTGTGTGTGTGTGTGTGTGTGTGTGTGTGTGTGTGTGTTGTGTGTGAGAGAGAGAGTGTGAGTGTGAGTGTGTGTGTGTTTGTGAGTGTGAGTGTGAGTGTGAGTGTGAGTGTGAGTGCGAGTGCGAGTGCGAGTGCGAGTGTGTGTGCGTGTGTGTGTGTGTGTGTGTGTGTGTGTGTGTGTGTGTGTGTGTGTGTGTGTGTGTGTGTGTGTGTGTGTGTGTGTGTGTGTGTGTGTGTGTATGTGTGTGTGTGTGTGTTGTGTGTGAGAGAGAGAGTGTGAGTGTGACTGTGTGTGTGTTTGTGAGTGTGAGTGTGAGTGTGAGTGTGAGTGTGAGTGTAAGTGCGAGTGCGAGTGTGTGTGTGTGTGTGCGAGTGAGTGTGTGTGTGTGTGTGTGTGTGTGTGTGTGTGTGTGTGTGTGTGTGTGTGTGTGTGTGTGTGTGTGTGTGTGTGTGTGTGTGTGTGTGTGTCTTTATGTGTGTGTGTGTGTGTGTGTCTTTATGTATGTGTGTAAATGTGTGTGTGTGTGTGTGTGTGTGTGTGTGTGTGTGTGTGTGTGTGTGTGTGTGTGTGTGTGTGTGTGTGTGTGTGTGTGTGTGTGTGTGTGAACGTTTACATACCTTTGTACTTACATACAAAGTTATACCAAGTTAGCTCTCTCCCTGAACTTCACAGTTACCTCGGAAACTTTCTACACCTTCTTTGAATTCTGGTGAAGTAGCAACCACACACTTCTCTTTACACAATATAGATATACATTCCCATCCCATCGCTAGAGTACTTATAAACCCCATTTATTCAGACACTTAGCTACTGTTGCGATGGTGCCACGTCATAACAGAAAGTCATCCCAGAGTTTGAGAATGGTTAATGGTTAATGGAAAAAAAATAACAAACAGATAAAATAGTGTTAAAGATTGGGATAAGTGGACAGAAGGGGATGAATAGGAGAAGGAAAAGGAAAGAAGGAGAAGAAAAGGCCATGCAAAATTGGTTGAGGCAAGGCAGGGGAGATCCTCTACATTGGGCCTCAGTCTCCGTCTCCTAAACCCAACCCCACACGATTGGGGGGGCTGGGTGGATGGGTGGGGGTGGGGGAGGGGGGCAGTGTTTGAGAAGCTTCTTGATGTAACTGAACCAAGACTATATCTGTGACTTCGGAAAAATAATGACCCTTAATACACCTGTTTCTCCCTACGGTTGTGCTCACTCCCATTTCTTCAGTTACTTTTCTGTACCTAATAATGTTATTTATTCTTTAAAAAAAGTTACAAACATTAATATATTTTTATAATCTTTTCAGAATTTACCATTGCGTAGTTTGTATTACTACCCTGTTTGTATATATTTAACTTTAATATCTGACATTAATGAAAAGCTTCATTCGTCCTGTAATGAAATGAGTCTGGCATCAAGTTATTTTGCAAATGCATCTCTGTTATTGCCATTATGTACTGCTTCACTTAACATTTAAGAGATAACTTTCATAATTGATTAATTTACAAAAGTCTGTCTGCTTTCCTAGTTTCTCTTCCTTAGAGTGTGCAATGCAGTATGAATACAATCCATGGTGATAGACTAAAATATTTTCATAATTTTCATTGTAATTATTTATGGTCTTATATGTTTTCATAGTCCCTAATAGTGTATATATATATATCAAAGTGATTATCTGGCATATCAAAAATTATATCAAGATGTTAACCCATTGCCGCGGGGGAAAATGAAAAAAAAAATGGGGGAAATGCTGTACTCATTTTTTATATTTTTGTGAAATATCTCTGTCCATAGATGGCTCTGCTAGTCCTGATTTCATCTTTCCTTGAATTAGCGGGAAAAAACGTATTTTTACTAGTGGTATAAATATAGATGGTGTTATTTTTAACAGCAAATTAGGATAACATTAAATATTTTTGTAAATCGATGAAAAGGATGAACGGGCGAGACAGGCAGTACTCGTAATTGGCTCATTGGATACTTAGTACAAGTGTAGCCATCTATGTGTAAAAACAATCAAACAAGTCGACTCACAGTGGGCATGGCATGTACGTACATGCCATCCCCGGCGGCAATGGGTTAAAGTAAGACTATGCTAGTCAAACTGGCACTTCATTCCTGTTAACAAAATGTTCAGTTTCCACTGACGTTTAATGTCGTTAACTATTTACAGGCTGAATGTGTGGATAACAAACTTGTTGATTCCTTAGTTAGTGTAATATCCTTAAGAGAGAAAAAAAAATAAAGACAGAAGGAAAAAACAAATCATATTAGTCTATCCCATGTTAAATTTAAGAAGAAAAAAAATTATATAAAAACATTTGATGATGGTTAACTCTTTAACCCATTGCTGCCGGGGGAAAATGCTGTGCTCATTTTTTATATTTTTGTGAAATAATACATGGATGGTTCTGCTAGTGCTTAGCCACAAAGGAGTCAATTAGTAGATCTTGAGACTTTACCTGATTTCATCTTTCCTTGAATTGGCGGGAAAAACATATTTTTTACTAGTGCTTTAAATATCGATGGTGTTTATTATAAACATTATAATTACTATAATGTTATAGACATTTGTAACAGCAAAATAAGATCATGTAAAAATTTTCATAAATCAATGAAAAGGGTGAACGGATGGGACATGCAGTACTCATAACTGGCTCACTGGTGACTTAGTACAAGTGTAGCCATTAATGTGTATAAAACAATTAAACAAGTAAACTCACAGTGGGCATGGCACGTACGTACATGCCATGCCCGTCAGCAATGGGTTAACTACTCCTGTGGAATGCCCTTCATACTTAGTATACTATAAGCTTATACTCAGCAGATTGTATAGGAAAAAATAAAATAATGAATCTTAGCTGAATGTATTACAATGCAATAGAAAATGTACAATATATATTTTGAAGCACAATGAACAAAGCATAATGTATTCTTCAGCTGGCCATCTTAACATAAGCAGTGTCACATGGCATCTTTCACATCATATTAGCATGTGTTCATGAAAAAAAGTATTTGATTTATTTGTGTGAAAATTTTGTAATATAAACATCAAATCTTTCACACAAGATCACACACATATATCACAAGTATTTCGAGAATTTTTATTAACCTTAACAACTAAGAAAATAATCACATTTTAGCACATTTGTGCTTTCAGACAAATACAACTTGTGTTAATACTAATTTAATAGGCATATAAAGAGTAAAATCAAAATAGGTCTTGTTATTGATGATAATACTCCCTGGAAATTTCTATCCTTATTTTCCATTTTTTTAATTTCATTTATTCTTAATTAAGTATTCAATACCTCTTAGTTATACCTAATTAATGTGCAATGCTCAGTGACAATATCTAATTATTCACTTCTATAGATCAATAATAAAAATCTTAAACAAGTTTTTACACCATACTTTTCAGAAATGAACTGAAAAAAAAAATAAATAAATAAATAAAAATAAGTAAAATAAATTATAAAAAACAAAAATCTACACCAATGAAACGCACCACAACAAACCAGCACTAGAAACATAAAAACCCAAAAATGAATGTGCGAGGCATATCGACCACACTTTGTACTGAGCTAAAGTCAAGCCAACCTACTGTACTCTCACCACCACTGGGAATGATCAACAACTTGTTCAGTGTGCATTTACCCGGCAACCTCGTCCATCACATCCTGCACGAGCTGGGCCTTTTTCTTGCCTGTGACCTTGACGCCTCGATCCTGCAACCAGCTCTTCAAGACGTCCACAGTCAGCTTGTCAGCCTGAGGGAGAGGGCAAGTAGGTTTGAGGAAGTTAGTTAATAAACTATGTGCACTAGTAGAAAGCTAGGATACGCTAACTATCAATATTGGTTTAGGTTTAACTTTGTTTAGCTTTCTATATGTGCATAAGTTGACTGACATGAGCTGACTAGGTGGTAGGTAATGAGTTTACTACTTCAGTTAAGTTAGCTAAATGGTATGACAATTAAGGGCATGGTAGTACAAGTTTGTAGCTATAAATCAGCTAGTTTCTATAATTTTGCTTCATTGGTACAGGTAAATTAATCACATTAAATATCTGTCATTCAAATCAACTTGAAATTTACATGGATATTTAGTAAACCTCAAGAAAGATAAATATATATATATACAGATAGTCCCTTACTTAAGAACATTCTACTTATGAACATTCCATACATACAAACAAAAATCTTTATGTACTAAAGTCCAAAAAATTGTTTGAAAGATGCTAGCAAATTTCAAATTTCCCGGGAACAAATATAATTCAAGAGTCTGGTACTGCATAAGGTATGTCGTACTTATTGGGATTTATTTACAGGTATTCTTAATGTAAACAAAAATTTAAAACAATGGGAAAAAAGGTAATGGAGACCTGACCTTCGACATACAAACAAATCAACTTACAAACGGCCTCTCGGTCCCCATTATGTTCTTAAGTTGGGGACTTACTGTATATATATTTTCTAAATCCTTTTTATTGCAAATTACAATAAACAATTTTCTTGTAGGAAATTATATTACACTATATCATAATCAACATGCTTCAGATATGTGATTCAACTGTATCATACATAAGTAACTCCTATTATTTTCAAGTTAAGCAGAAAAATATTCAATAATTTACCAGGTTTATCAACTCTATGATACAAGATTATAATGACCTTAGGTATCAAACTATTTTGAAAGTAATCAAATTTAAATTAAATTGTCCAAAACAAAAACACAAACCAAAGTAACCGAAACTCAACTGAAAATTTTGGCCAACAGAGGAAAAGTGTACAGAGCCTCAAGCTATGTATCACCTAACCCAATAAATACACACAAGAAAGAAATATATACAAGAAAGGCAAAAGAACAAAAAATTACCAAATTAAGTCTCACCTTTCCGGCCTTAGCCATCTGCTCAACATCCACACTCGCTGGATCCGGCTTCGCTCTCTTGGGTGCTGCCGATGCGCCACCACTTGCTGGACGTTTCTTGGGGGCTGCATTCGGATCGTACGATGGGGGGTAGACCATCTCCCGGAAGCTCTCGATCAGGCTGCCGGCTTTCTTCCGCATTCGCTCATAATCTGGCACTAGAAGGTTCAAAACAAAGTGATATACATTGGACTCTAATACGATCCAAATCACCGTTAGGAATTTCAATGGCATTATCCCTATAGTGTAAGAATGTGAAAAATGCATCTCTGTGTAAGGATAAAGCATAATTTGACATTGGTGTAGGAAGAACGAGGAAGGAATTATCACATATTTTGCAATCTATATAAATTTTCTAAAAACCAAATGTTATTTCTTTCACATTTCATACCTAATGCAACTAATGGTGATGTGATTGGAGGAGGAGGAGGAGGAGGAGGAGGAGGAGGAGAGAGGGAGGGAGGGAGGGAGGGAGGGAGGGAGGGAGGAAGGAGGAGGAAGGAGGAAGGAAGGAAGGAAGGAAGGAAGGAAGGAAGGAAGGAGGGAGGGAAGGAGGGAAGGAAGGAGGGAAGGAGGGAGGGAGGGAGGGGGGGAGGAAGGAGAGAGGAGGAGGGAGGAGGGGAGGGGAGAAGGAGGGTGTGTAAATAGAAGAGGAATACATAAAGTAAACAAAAACAAAGATATCTACCTATCTTAACTACCCCACATTCATCCAGCCCTACTTCCTTCCCCTTTAACTCACCAGTATAATCCACCAACTCTTCCAGGTCAGATCTGTTCAGTGCCAGAGCCTCAATGTTGCGCCAGTGCGTCTGTATATGGGGATTGTCAAAGCTCTCTGGAGAGTACTTGAAATGCAGCTTCTTCACCATATCCTTGGCCGCATCCACCTGGTCTACTGTAGCCCGTGTGACGTCTTCAATTTCGATGTTGCGGAAATCATCTATTGAATGATGGGGGGGTGGGGGGGAGTAAATAAGTAACATTAGCAAAGAAATTAATAAAATGGAAAAAGGATATAACAGTATCTCTCTAAATGTCTATAAATTTACCCCTTAAAATAGTTGTAAACTAAATACAACAGCACAAAAAACAAGAAATTATTATAAAACCAACCTATTCATATTGCTTAAAACTGTAAAACTATCACATTATATGCTATATAAAAGGACCAGCTACTGTGCAAGAATATGTGCAACATCTCTTAAAAGTCATAGAAATACATGTTATGGCTGACTCCTTGCCTCACTCTCATAGAATTCCTCACCTTCCCTTTATATTTCCCTTTACTTTACAACTTAATTATGAGTAGGAGACAAGTGTGTCTAAAACTGTAATATACATCAATATGAGAGAGTACAATATCTCAGTTACTATTTTCTATACAAAAAAAATGTATTATAATACTTCCTTGAACACATTCCTATAACCTAAATGCAAATTCTGATATGTTGCAATATATCAAATGTATTTTCCTTTTCAAAAGTATTTTCAGGTATACATTCAACAAAGTCTACATTAGCAGCTTATCTAAACTTTAATCTGCTTTTGAAGGCATGGACTTTTTATTATAACTAAATGATAATGCAAATGTGTAACAGTTTTTAATTACATTACTACTGAAATCAACCAAGAAGAAAAGAAGAAAACAATGACAAGAAGGAGAAGAGAAGAAGAGAAAAAAGAAAGAGAAGAAAAAAGAAGAAGAGAAGAAGAAAAAAGACTGACATATGCATATTACAACAGTTAAAACACATGAAGACTTAACCTACACTTTTAACTAATTTTCTAGACTCTCAATACTTTTTGTTCAACCCCATGACCACAGATTTATGTACTGTCCCTGTGTTTTCTTGTGACCTTTGTTACAAACAGATGGCTCCATATGTGCTCACCCAACAAGAAGTCTATCAGTAGGCCTAGTGACCGTGCCTGATTTCCCCATTACTTGAATTCCCGGGAAAATGTGTTTTTCTTTCTGACACTATTAATATTGATACTGTTAATACTCCTACTGATATTATGTTAATTTTATTGTTATCAAAACATTAATAACATTGAAGATAAAAAAATAATACAAATGGAGCTTGCCAAAAATCAAGGGAAAGGATAAACAGGTGAAATAGGTAGGACTAATAACCGACTCCTTGGTGACTAAGCACTTGCAGAGCCATCTATGTGTAAAAACAACAGATGAACCTTATATTACAGTAGGCATGGCATGCATTCTTGCCATCCATGCCAATTAGGTTAAATAGCATAATTTCCCATTTGATTTCACAATAATTTTCTAATCTTTCTTCACCACCCCATAAAGAATAACACTGGAGAGAGATAGAACAAAAACAACGCACCAGCAAAGGGGAGGTGGCAGGCATAAAAGCCAGGAGGAGTGATCTGGCAGTTTTTCTCGTCCAGCTCCTCCTTCTGCGGGATGAGAGCTGCCCAGGACACTGATGATCCCCTGCGAGCTACCATGCGCACTATGGGGGCCACATTACGAGTCAGACAGCGGTCCAGCAAGGCAGCAAACACCTTGTTACTTCCTGTACATGATGGGTAAGTGACATTCAATAACAAGGGAATGATAATGATACATAATACATGTAAAAAAATATATTGAAAAATTAACAGGGAAAACAATATCATGAAAACAACTGCTATGAAAATAATTATACAGACAAAAAGCTTAATAAATCTAAGAAACATTTTAAGCTCACTTTGCTTGTAATCCTTTTCTAAACAAAGCCAAGACAATGTTCAATGTGAACAATAGATGGATACATAAACAAGTAAATGAATAAACAAATTAATTAATACATGCAATAACTCAATAAAAGAAAATGAAAATCTTAGCCTACCTTGAACAGATTTCTCATCAGGATACAAAAAATTAGCTGGCTTGATGTGATAATAGGGTTTAATACTTTCAATAGACTTGAATCCGAGCAGTTCAATTCCTTGTTCATACACCTGGTTCATACTACGCAATTCATCCTGAAATCATAAACACATATTCAAAGACATAATTCTAATGGACAAATCAATACAAGTACAAGAAAAAACAAGTAATTTCCTTGTCTTGAATAATTATATATATATATATATATCCATTTAATAATTACCTGGAATTGCTAGACCTAAATGACCTCATGTAATTTATTTCCATGGAGATGTATGCTTCTCTTACATTCTTACATTCCTCATTCTTCAAATTCCAGATTTCCCTTTTTAGCCAGCATGTTTTGCATTTGCAATTTTTTTTTTTCACTCTCTACACCTATTCAACAGTAACTTACATTGCACTATATACTCTTTCCCAAGCACCAATTTCACGCCTTTTATGTTTCTCATCTTTACCCTTGATTGTCACACAAAATCTACTAACAAAAATGACCATTTCAACCTCTCCTTGGGAAGACAACAATAGATTCTTTCTCTGAGGAATGAATATCCATTCTCCACGTTTAACTTGTCTATAAAAATCAACAGAGCCTCACCTCAAGCATGCTATCCTATTGTCCTTCTGCAAAGTATCTTTCCTCCGTGAAACCTTTCCGCACATTTTCTCTTTTCCCTTATATGATCATTCCTCTCTCTTTTCCCTTGGCACATCTTCTAACCATTATTTCAGTTAATAGTAATTGGTAAAGAAACCACAGGAATCAGAATTGTTATCTACCCTAAGGACATATTCTAAAGGTTTAGGGATATTGAGGTTCTATATATATATAATCATTATACATAGAATCATCCATATGTAAACAAAATAAATTCATTAATATCACAGCAGATATGCCCTCCAGGCATCAAATAATGTCAAGTACAATCTGAAATGGAGGATGATGTCACTTGACTATACAGTCTGTGTCTATCCAATTGTTTGTCTGTCTGTGTCTGTTCATCTATCAGTTTGTGTGTGTCTTTTCATCTATTTATCTGTAACTATCCATTTATCTGTCTGTCTGTTATTTTCCTATCAACCTTTTTATTTCCTTGCATAGAAAAAATCACTAACAAAATATATAGAATCTCAGCAACTTACCAAAGAAAATTTGATTTTCTTCCCTCCATACTCTTGGTATTTCACATAGTCTGATGGCATCAACAGTTCACCGGTCTCCTGAGAATATTATAATGAAAATATCATAATTAACTTGTAGACATACTTTTCAATCTACATAATAATTCACTGCATAATAATAATCACTGTGTTATTTAGAACAGGCAAACCTTCATTACTCATGCTAGTAAAAAATATTACAAAAGAATCCAAATGTCTTAGCAAATAGGAATCCATAAAACCTAAAACATCCCTATACTGTTACATGATAACTCCTATAAATTTTATAAGGCCCTCTCTAAGCAATCTTGTAGTCACTTCAGAACTAGAAGGTCACTTACTGCTCTGTAAGGACTTTCTAAGACTCCAAAGAATCATTACTAATTATGGACACACTGTCTCTATGCAACGAAATGACAAATTTGAACATAAAACTATGAAGAAAGCTAGAAATAAACATTTTAACATTTTGTATATTTGGTACCTGTAACAATTGCTTATTTCTCAATATGTATTTCAAGACCAAATATTCAGAGGCAACTTGATATACATTCAAATAGTTTCACATAATTACTGTTATGTAGCCTTAGTCATCTTTTAACTGTAAGCTAATAATTTCCTTTTCCTAAAAATTCCTAACCATGCCTCAAAACATTTACAAAGTTTGGTTATTTGTAAAAGTTTTCTAATGTTAACTATGTTTTTCTTATTGTTTTTAACAAACACCTTTCATAAAACTTATTGGAGGAATTGTTAACTGCAGATTTTACATATGTTAAGGTCTTAAAAAAATTTGTCTAAAACATTATTTCATCTTCTTTTAGTCACAAGGGTGAGGGATCAGGAAAGGCTTCACAAGCAGAAAAGCCTAGTGCATCTCTTCATATAAATCTACACAACTTTAAAAAGGAGGAAATGTAACTGACACATTTCAAAGATAGTCTATGCATATATGGCAAACGAAGCACAAAATTTCCAATGCCATGGTGGTTTATATATAGATGAAGATAGCTTGTGGTTCCTAAAAGTGTATGCATATGATAAAGACAAATAGTGGAAATGCTATTCAAATTACTTTGAGGAGCAGGAGAAAATGAACACCATGTCCAACAGTTACAAATTATTTAAGCTGACAAAAATTAAGTTGAAAATCAGCAACAAGTCACAGACAGTAGGTGACTCCTCAGCTTCAAACAAACATACACAAATTTTGTAATCTGCAATTCTGATAAACATATAATGTGAAAATGAGTTGCTTCCATATCTTGCTTTGTGAAGTTATTTGTTTTGATTCACACCTTATCAGTGTTTGCTATAATGAATTTGTTTAGCTCTATTATATGTGATTTTCTAACTCACCTCTAAGTATTCTTTCTTCATATACCTTACTTCCTCATTTGTGTTTTTCCACAACTTCACTTTATAAGGTATGTTCATTTTCCTGTAGGATAAAAAAGTTAGTAAGTAGAAGGCAATAGATTCATGACAATGTCCCCTAACTTCTGTCAAAATTAAGTATATTCTTACTTCCTTACTCAGTCTTTGCATGAAAACTTCACATATAACTTCCTAATGCATACTATATAGCTTTCATAATTTATCTCTAAAACTAAAAACACTACATTCTATAAAGAGTACATACCCTAAAAATATGCAATCTATAAACCAGACTGATTTCATCACCACAGAAACCACCCTCTTTCTTACTTTCTGATTAAATTTATAATATAGAAAAGAATGAATGAGAATGAATATCTGCATAACACAAGAATGTATTTGACCAGTTTTGATTACATCCTCATCAGGAATACATGTATTTCTAATGAAGACATAATCAAAATCAATCAAATACATCTCTTATATTATAATATATTTGTTCTTATTCATATATTTTCTACACTTGTCAATATGAATACGGTTCATTCATTTATAAATTACAATCCCAATACATAATAATCTCTTTTTCCTTTCAAAATGTCTACATCAAACAAGCCTCTGACCTGACAGAGGTGTACACTCCAAGAGCCATTTCAACGCCAGGTGCCAAGGTGAAGGTGACCCTTCCGGTGGTTCGCTGTTTGTGTTCCAGCCGCTTCACTCTGTCCATCAGCTCCTCGAACCGACTGGCAGGATCTGCGAGGGTTTCTTTTTCTTGTGACTCATCGTCTTCACTGTCGTCTGGGATGATCAGGTCCTGGTGGGTATTTTTAAGAAGTAAGCATTACTACTATACAGGATTAGAGAAAAATGAGAAAAAGAATTATTCATTTTCTATCATGTTCATTTCCTGTTTGTGCTTCATTAATTTTGCTGTCATCAATTGTACATTCAGGGTCGAGTTCCAGACATATTTACTGGGAAATCTCATATAAAGGAATGCCTTTAACATATTTAGTTAGCAATAATATTATGACAACCGTGAAAGACAATCTCCATCACATTGCCAAATTCATATATATTTAATAAAGCAACTAGCCAATCCATGCTGATGAATTTTAGCAACATACTCTTAATAACTCATGAGGTCCTCTGACAAGTGCAGGCCACAAACACAATCCACTTGAAATTGTACTAATCATTACGAATTTCCCAAATGAAAAGAGGGAAATAACTAGCAATAATATTTCTTTAGAGACTGTAATGTTTATCATTATGGGAGCATATTTTTTATTTATATAATTTCCCAAGATATTTTGGGTGTATAGCTGGGTTAACATATACATAATCATGTATATATAACTATATATGTACTGTTAACCCATTGCCGCCGGGGAAAATGAACAAAAAATGGGGGAAAATGCTGTACTCATTTTTTATATTTTTGTGAAATATCTCTGTACATAGATGGCTCTGTTAGTCCTGATTTCACCTTTCCTTAAATTGGCGGGAAAAAACGTATTTTTACTAGTGCTATGAATATAGATGGTGTTATTTTTAACAGCAAATTAGGATAACATTAAATATTTTCGTGAATCGATGAAAAGGGTGAACAGGCGAGACAGGCAGTACTCGTAATTAGCTCATTGGATACTTAGTACAAGTGTAGCCATCTATGTGTAAAAACAATCAAACAAATCGACTCACAGTGGGCATGGCATGTACGTACATGCCATCCCCGGCGGCAATGGGTTAAACCTATCAATTCATACTAACTTATTTGGCAATTTTTTCAATGTGTACTCAAAACTAAGACCTGCAATTTTAACCTGCTGCTACTAGGGATTGGCATTTACAGACATACCATGCCAACTGTGAGTTCAGTTTATTAACCCATTCCTACCGGGGAAAATGAGTCAATTAGTAAATCTTGTGACCTTACCTGATTTCACCTTTCCTTGAACTGGGGGGAAAATGTATTTTTTACAAGTTCCATGAATATCAATGTGTTATTTCTATTGTAAACAGTTGAATTATTATAATGTTATAAACATGAGTAACAGCAAAGTAAGATAACATAAAATATTTTCCTAAATCAAAGAAAAGGGAAATGGGCGAGACAGGCAGTACTCATAATTGGCTCATTGGTGACTTAGTACAAGTGTAGCCATCTATGTGTAAAAACAAAAAAAAACACAAAAAAAAAGGAAGCTCCAATTAACCATTTAACTTTTAATTAAACCATCTATTCCAACTTTTATCTAAATTCATATATTTTTACCAAATCTTTAAACTTTTCAACTTTCATTATGCAGACCAACTGCCTAAAAATGTACTTATTAAATGCTTTGATAGTTTAACCTTTCATGTAGAACATAATAAACACTGATATGTTCACATAAGGTTAACATTAACATATCAATATTTATGTTATAAATGGAAATCTAAACAAACAAAACATTTAATAAATGAACTTTGGGCAATTGGTCTGAGAACACCTTCAGATGCACACAAACATCCCTTAAACTCCTCTTGAAGATGCTAAAGGTGTGTGACCTTCACTTAATCCAATGATTAATTTAGTTTGATTCCATTTGTTACAATGGATATTCTTGTGCTGACATGCTGTCTGTTTTATTTTGCTTCTAAGTTATCCCCTGTGTGCAAGGAATGGCCGGGGTTACCATCCACTGGTGGCGAGGGATTCGAACGCAGGTCAGCAAGATTGCTAGACGAGAACGCTACCGCTGCACCACACAGCACACATGCTGCTGGGGGAAATGAATAAAAAAAGGGGAAAATGCGGTGCTCATTTTTTAATATTTTTTGTGAAATGTCTCTGCACATAGATGGTTCTACTAGTGCTTAGCCACAAAGGAGTAGACCTTGTGACCTTACCTGATTTGTAATGGTGGGAAAAAATTATTTTTTACTAGTGCTGCGAATATCAATGGTGTTATTTTTATTATAAACATTATAATTACTATAATGTTATAAACATTAGTAACAGCAAAACAAAATAATGTAAAATATTTCCATAAATTAAAGAAAAGGATAAACAGGCAAGACAGGCAGTACTCATAACTGGCTTATTGGTGACTTAGTACAAGTATAGCCATCTATATGTAAAAATAATTAAACAAGTAACTCGCACTGGGCATGGCATGTACGTACACGTCATGACCGTCGAAATGGGGTTAAACAGCCATGGATAAACAACAATATGCCGCTACTTTTTAAACTGATTTTACACATTATAATAGATGAATCTTACCACCATTACATACACCTGATGCAGATGATCATGCCAAAATACTTTTAATTCTACTTCTACTTGTTGCCTTCTAAAACAAAGAATTCCCTTGCGTACCAATTTCAACATTCCATCACAAAGAACTTGTCAACTTTTACCTTGTAGAACTTATGGACATCAAAACTTGTTCCCATGTGTAAGAGCTCTAAGGAGATGCCAGCTTCGTTCAGGTCCTTGCCCTTCTGACGAGCCTGTTTCTGCTTTTGGTCGTTGCCGCTGTGGGGGTTGTCCTGGCAGGTGAACAGCATGATGCTCTGCCCCGAGAGTTTGCTCTTGCTGCAATGCCGTGGAGATATAGCATGTTTTAGATGGAAAATACATGAATGTAGATGCTTACTACTGTCATATGAATAATACAAAAATGTGAAGGTATGACATTGCAAATAATTTATCATTTATATAATCCTATTTCAGTTGATTTGAATGATTTTCATAATGCAAAGTTATCTATCACAATCATGAATCATGATCAATCTACAAAATAGAAGCAGGTGAGTCTCACAGATGCATTATTACTATTAATAACACTGTCATGATATACACCACCTCAGAAATTACTTATTATTAGTCGGACAAATCTGAATAAAAATTACAAAAATAAAAGAATTTTCCCAATGACATCTACATGAAGCTTAATTTAGGACATTGTTTTTATATACTGCGTTTTTTTGTTTTAGTTCCCGAGCCTTTGATTAACCTTTAATTATAAAGAAAAGTAACAACACTAAATGGGTATGAATCTGAGCACAACAAAAGAAATGTAGTAAAAGAATGTATGAAATTTTGTTTAATAATACATATGAATCCCCATAACATAAAAAAGGCCTTTAAAAACAAACGTATGATAACTGACCTTGGAAATTCAATATTCAAATAAAAATATATCCCTAACATTTTTTCTTCTATGAGTTATTAACCAAAAATAAAGAAAAAAAGGAAACCACATCAACACTTAATACACCAACATGAAACCTGGTTTCAGAGAAGAAGAAGAAGAAGAAGAAGAAGAAGAAGAGAGAGAGAGAGAGAGAGAGAGAGAGAGAGAGAGAGAGAGAGAGAGAGAGAGAGAGAGAGAGAGAGAGAGAGAGAGAGAGAGAGAGAGAGAGAGAGAGAGAGAGAGAAAGAAAGAAAGAAAGAAAGAAAGAAAGAAAGAAAGAAAGAAAGAAAGAAAGAAAGAAAGAAAGAAAGCAAGAAAGAGAGAGAAAAAAAAAATATATATATATATCAATACCAGATAGATGAACATAAAGCCTAGTCTCAAAGAACAAAAATGAAGACAGATACACACCACTTGTTGAAAATGCTCTGACACACCCACAGAGCTTCATGGATATTGGCACTGTTGCTGTGTCCGTACTTCTTTTCAAATTTACTATTGCTCACTGCAAAGTTATTAAAATGGCATGAAACATAGGCTAGATATAGATGCTTGTTGGATTAGTATAAAGTAGAAATTTAGAAAACCTAAACTGAGGACTTGTATTTCATTGTTTCAATAAATGTACATTGTTGCTACTTCCATACTCCTTTTCAAACTTGCTATCACTCATGGCAAAGTTATAAAAATGGCATGAATCATAGGCTATATAGAGATGCTAGTTGGATTACTATAAAGTAGAGCAAAATTTAGAAAACATAAACTGAGGATACGTATTTCACTGTTTCAATAAATGTGCTGCGAATGGAAGACAGAGCAAAGTAAATAAATATATACTTCCTCCTTTAACTTTTTTAACTGATAAGTCTTTTAGAATTGCCTTCCAGTTATGCAAAATTTCATTAATCAGTAATCACTCATGATCAACCCAAAAATCTAGGTAATCTAGTTATAAGTCAAGTGATTACTATTCTAAGACAGTGGTTCTCAAACTTTTTCCTATCTTTATTCCTGGCAGTGTTGTGATAGATGACCATGATGCTTACCCAATCCCATTTATTCTACTGATGAAAAAAAGAAATAGGAGATAATTTCTTCATCAAAAAATTAAAATAAACATTGTTTCTTTTATAACAAGATGAAACTTAGGCATTATTTCTTTCATAATTAATGGAAAATAGACATTTTTTTCTCTATCATTAATGGGAAATACGATATGTAATACGGCTTGTCCTTCAACCTATTGGATGCAGGTGACGGGGACATCTCAGTAAAAAAATTATTTCAGTCATGTGACTAAGATGTATAGTGATCAATATATGAACTTTCTTGTCAAATCTTGGTTAGGAGTGTTGCGAGCTCTTTATTACTAGTACAGTGTTACTCTAAAAACTATAACTTTTAGAATTTGCTTCAATACCCCCAGGAATGGCACCATTATCCTCATTTGAGAACCACTGTTCAGAGATATATAAATACTTATACTTATATAACATAAATGTTTAGTACATACAGAGATAGTGTGCCATTGTAAAGGGCTATAAAAACAAGCAACAACAAAAAATCATATATATAAATCACCCTGTATGTAGGTATAGATTGTGTGATTATATTCTAACCTCATATTATAATTTTCCAAGGGGAGTACTTGCCTATACAAGCAAGAACTAAAGAATACAAAATTATTTTATCTAATTTTGTTTAATGCCCCTTTTTTATCAGTTCTACATGAAAATTATCATATATTAATATTTGCACAATTCTGATTAGACTCCCCATAATATCATTAACTTTTGATGAATATACATAAAAAATACCAGAATCTATTTGAGTTTTGAAACAAGAAGCTACACATTACAGAAATGTTTAAACATATACACTTTACAAAGTTTTAGAACATACTTGTTACCAAACATTTTTTGTTAAAATCACTCTTCTCACTACCAGAGATCAATTGCATAAACTTACTTCCCATGAGTTCTTCAAGCTGCAGGACCTTCTCTGCTCCAGGACGCTCAAGTTCTTGCAAAATGTATATACTTGGGACGTCAATGTTGTTCTTTGATTCCTTCGTGTTGTAGAGAACCACAGCACTAAGGTCTTGGTCGCTTGAGATGATCTTTCTCATCATTGTTGCATGAGCACACTAGATGTTGAACAAAGAAATACAGTTAGCATTCTGATAGTGATAACTTAGAAATACAAAATCAGTCATTGCTGATTCCCTTTCCATTTATTTATTTATCTACTATACTTTTTTTTGGTTTACATGGATCACTAATACATAAATTTTCTTCTAAAGAAATAATAATAATAATATTTTTCTTTTTTACTTTTCTTAAGGTCCTGTGTACACCTTAGCTACTTACTTTAATTTAACAGTTGTTAGACATTTTCTATATATTTAATGGACAGCAACAACAAACAAAAACAAATAAAAAAAAATATACAGACACTGAACACATACATAATATGTTCCCTTACCCTGATAGCTTTCTTGAAAGAGGAATCTTCATCCTCTCCATCATCGCCAGAGGTTTCGCACATCTCCTTACTCGCATCAATCAGGAAGATGCTAGCTGCTCGCCCCCCGAAAGTCCAGGTTCCCTCTCCCTGCTCATCCCCGTCCTCCTCCTGGTCGTCATCGAGATCGAATCGCCACTCACTCATGGTTGCGTCTTGTGGTTCTACCTGGTGAGTAAATAAATAATTAGAATAAATTAATAAATCAATCAATAAAATACTCCTGCACCATCATACATTATGTACATGAGATCTCTTTTTGACCAGTATGACATATGTGGCATATAAAAAAACATTTTTGATATGGAAAAAGAAAAACAAACATTAAATGGGTGTCTTACAAAAATATGGCAATTCTTATGAGCCAGTGGCCATAGATACAAGCCAGTCTATTAATTGGGTTTAAAGACAGATGGCTACACAAGTGCTTAGTCACCAAGGAAGCAAGTATTAGTCCTACCTATCTGACCTCTTTACCCATTTCCTTGATTCTCAGAAAGCTTTGTTTTTTATTACTATATTATTTTAATTGTTGTTTTAATTGTATTTTGGAAACATCATATTAATAAAAAAAAAAATCCTGCTGTATCAACATCTAAAGGTATATTAGTGGCATATACAAAATATAGTAATAGGGTGGGTCTTGGGGGCAAAAGCCTCAGGTAAGAATGTTTTTTGGTTCAGTAAAGCGATGTTTGTGGATTTCCAGAATGGTCAAAGATCAAACCAAACAAATGTACCAGACATCAAAGGTCATACAGCATTATGGTA